TTCAAAGTGGGGATACAGCCTTGACATGGTGGCAGAGCGGTGGGATCATTTTAAACCAAAAGCCAGTAAGATTTTTTTTTCTCTCCTTGCTAGCTGCTTGGAAAGCAGAGCTGAAGGTAGATGCATATCTTATCTCTCCTTGCCTGAAGGCAGAGGTGTTAAGTTTTTTTTAACAAGGGTCTTTGTTAAGAGAAGGGTTCAATCAGTGAGCAAACAGCTGGTAAAAGGAATTTACAAGCTGAATTGTTTTTCTTTCTACTCGGGGATAGCTAGTTAGAAAGTCTCTGTTACCTCAGCAGCAGCCTGAGCTGAATGCATCCCAGTTTCAGTCAACTGCAGAGGGGTGTGGCCCAGCACAAGAAAACAGGAAAATGACTACCAGTGATGTAGCTAACAAACTAGAAGCAGAAGAAAATGAAAAAAAAACATCAGCGACTACTTCAATTAAAAAAACTCGAGAAAGAAGCTGATGAGAAAGCTATGGAGCAGAGAGAAAGCCAAAGAGGATGCCCACAAAAGAGCTATGGAGGAAAAACAAAAAGAGATGGAGGAGAGGGAAAGAGAGAGGAAGCATGAACTGGAATTAGCAAGGGCTAGGCCAGATATACCAGCCAACCCTAACAACCCCTGTCCAGGTACCACTTCCCATCCCAGAAAATTCCCCACCTACAAGGCAGGCGATGATACTGAGGCTTCTTGGAAAATTTTGAAAGGGCCTGCCTTGGATACAGCATCACTACAGACCAGTACATGGTAGAGCTGAGGCCGCAGCTCAGTGGACCCTTAGCAGAGGTGGTGGCTGAAATGCCTAAGGAACACATGAACAGTTATGAACTTTTTAAAAACAAGGCCAGAATCAGAATGGGGCTAACACCTGAGCATGCCCGTCGGTGGTTCAGGGCCCTAAGGTGGAAGCCAGACGTGTCATTTACCTGACATGCCTACCACATTGACAAAAATTGTGATGCCTGGGTATCAGCAGCAAATGTTAAATCTCTGGAAGATCTGGTTTCCCTAGTAAAAATGGAGCAGTTTTTAGGCGGTGTTCCTGAGGAACTAGAAAGGTACATCCTAGATGGGAAGCCCAAAACTGTAACCGAGGCGGGGGAGATTGGAGCCAAATGGGTGGAGGTGGCAGAAAAGAAAAAAAAATAGTAGCAGTTGGAGCGAATACCAGAAGGGACAAGCCGAAACAAAACCTTACCACCGAGGACAACCCAAGGCCCCACCCACATCCCAAGGGAAACCCCAGACGCCTTCTCGCCCCACCACACCAGTCTCCACCAACCAACATCGCCCCGGTGATACCTTAGCAGGGCGATGTTTTAAATGTAATGAACTGGGACATATAAAGACTCACTGCCCCAAGAAGCCCAACCGATTACAGTTCATTACACCACAATCACACTAAAGATCCCCAGACCCAGATGCCTCTCTCATACCCTCGGAGCGAAGGGAAACCTTGAGAGTGGGCGGAAAGAAGGTTATCGCTTGGAGGGACACTGGAGCACAAGTGTCAACTATCCACCAATCCCTAATGGACCCCAAACTCATCAACCTGGAGGTTCCAGTGACAATTCAACCCTTCATGTCACAGTCTGTAACCTTGCCTACAGCCAAGTTGCATGTTCAGTACAAGGGCTGGTCAGGAATGTGGACTTTTGCAGTCTATGACAATTATCCCATTCCCATGCTGCTGGGGGAAGACTTGGCCAACCATGTGAAGCTAGCCAAGAGGGTGGGAATAGTCACCCGCAGCCAGGCTAAGCAAGCTTTCACCCCCATCCCTGTTCCGTCCACCAGGGCCCCGTCTGTGTTACCAGAGACCCAGACAAAGGTGGTGGAACAGGATCCCCTGCCAATGACTGCAACAACCGTAGTGGATCCAATCCCAGAGACCCAGCCAAAGCTAGTCCCAGAACCGGAACTGGCAACGCAACCAGCACCAGAACCACTGCGAGCCCTGAGTCCAGCGCTTGCAAACCCATCTACAACTCCAATGCCAGAGGGCACCAGTGAGCCTGACCTGGCGGAAGCAGCAGATAACCCTACCCAAGAGGCTCAGCCAGAGCCTGAGTTACCACATAGTGCTCCAGCGGACAGCGGTTCACAGTCAATGGAAACAGCCCCAGCACCTGCATCGCTTCCAGAGGGACCAAGCCCCAGTCCACAGTCCAAGGAGGAACTGATGTCTCCAGCATCAAGGGAACAGTTCCAGGCCGAGCAG